TCTTTTGCAATGTATGTAAGGCAAAGAAAAACTGCCGAAAAAAAACGTCTAAAAATCACGAAAGGAAGCACTTTTTTTTCCTTGGCCGTTAGATCATCGTGAAAAAATATGACTTTTTTAAACTCGAAGCTTCTAGCTATCTTCTGACAAAACACAGGTATCAACTTTTAGGCGATGAAGGCAGTCTTTTCGCAATACAATCAAGATTGTCTATAAAATAACTCTACTGCGACAGTGATCGGATATTTCAATAAAATATAATGATTTATTTTACAGTACCATCGAAATCAAAAGTTTAATTAAAATTTAAACTTAATTAATTAATAACTCTGTGAATAGTTATCAGTTCATCGAAAAAACTGAAGGATATATGTATTATAGTTGCTGAGAAGAAGGAAATTCTCATCCAATGACATTCAACAACTTTCTGTAGTTTTACACATCGGGATGCGAGCAGTCCGATCGTTTCTCATATGATCCAAGGCTAATCATCAGTGCGAATGTGTTCAGCTGTGATGCTAATCATGAGTTCACATCAAATTCTCTCGTAGAATGCTATCAAATCCCAGCATGATTGTACGCATAGAAAAGAACACCAATACAGTGCCTCGTTAGATTGTATCTATCCTCGCATGGAATCAATATTAGTAAGCTTTGCACTTTCATTGAGGCGAGAATACTATTCCACTGAATAGCCGTTTCTCCAAGCTGATCTATCCTTGATTTCATCAGATTGCATTAGTCAGGCATTCATGCTCGTCTTATCGAACAAACACAGCGGCCTGTATAGTTACATATAGATAAGTAACGCTCATCCACAGATTCGCTGACCCTTTTCTGAACGAACCTGATTGGAACTTTCAGTCACAATTGTTCGAGAAGGGCACCTGTATGGCCGGGCCTAGATAACTTCATTTGAAAGTAGCATTCAGTGTTTTTCGCTGTATGGATATGTAGCAGTAAGCTATCTTGCTTCTCATAAGAAATATGATACAAGCTTCGTCCTTTTCATAAATTCTCTATTTCGGTTGCTTTTTGCTTCGGTTATCTGATTGATCGAAATGTTGAAACTTTCAGATCATGAGAACTGGTCTGGTTCTATTGTCCACGAATTCGGAATCGCAACCAGTTCTTCCACTTAAAATGATTTGGAATGCGGAGTTCTTTCTCAGTGAAGTGGATTAGAAAATCAGTAATCCTTCCACTTCGTGCGTCTAATGAAATTCCAAATTGTACGATAAATGTTCCCTGGACTGAAAGGATAGGGTCTGTCAGACGGTAAAGAAAGCTTTTGTCTGACCATCTGTCTGTCTGTCTGTGACCCATTTTAAAAAGACAGTAGAATTGGTTGTCGGTTGATTGAGAGTGACGGCTTTTATCATGTTCGATCAAGAAGAATCTGTCTTTCTCTATTTCTCTCTTGATTGATCACTTCCGCACCGTTTGGTTTTCGTGTTCTTTCGAGTATCGGATTTGGCACATAACTCATGTTCTCTGTCTGTCCTTCTGGCTGCTGCGCATCTTCATTGGTCATTGGTCATCCTAATTGATCATTGATCATATTTCGATGGGTTAGAAATTGATCTCTATTGTTTGTCTGCATGTTTTTCTAGGGCCGTGTTTACATAGCTCACATCATTCGAAGAAGTTTTCCTATTCATGAAAGGAAGTTGGAGATTGAGTGCTGAAATACATCGTATGAGAGTTCAAATCCCTCGTCGATGTCGAAAGGAAAAATGTGCATACTTACAAAGGTGAAAGTGAGGTTCAGTCGAGGGACGAGTGAATTGGAAGCCGACAAACATTACTTTTGATAATGTTTTAAATATAAAATCTTACGAGGGACCACTCGGAGTGCTTAAAAGCTTTAGAGCCCAACTTTTGCGCTCTGACAGGGAATATATGAAGCTAGAAAATCCCAAGAGATTATTTGTCCAAGTTGCGATTTGACTGAGATATCGACTGGTTGATAAACTTGCTCTACAGCGACCACACTAGTCCAGCAAAATGAAGGCCTCGCTTTCAGCTGTGAAATTTCTTTTTGAAAAGCATATATCAAAATGAAAAACGACTTAAAATCTTTATTTCGATCAACTTTATTCTTGAAGATAAATATGATCGTTCCTTTAGAATCAGAGTGTTATATGAGAGAAAAGCATGCCCTTTACTTTACGTTACGTTAATGTTAATCGTTACAGTATTTATTCGAAGATTAACGATATTTTGATAAATCATTTCTCAATTCTATCGAATTGATTCATAGATTCTATTCAGTCATGTTCTGTTACCAGAGTTCTATTATTCTGGTAGTTATTTTATTATGGAAGATTGATGCCGAATGTCCACTTACAATATCAATCAATCCTTGCAGCTGTGTTACGCACGTACCAACAGTAACACACCAAGCGTCGGATAACTATCGTAATACTTCTATTTATAAACGATCGATTGTATGTGAAAAATTAACAAATAATGATATAATCAATGTTCAAACAAAGTTTATGAACTTAGTTTTGACATCCATGGAAGATCGACATTTTGATGCATTGGTATTGCGAAATACAACTTGGAAAGAAATACCATCGAATATTTTTGGTAACTTAACTTTTCTAAGAATTCAATTCGAACACAATCAATATTTGTCTACAATTCATCCCGATACTTTTAGAAATACGAATGAGTATGTCAAACATTTTGAAACATTAAATACAAACTTATCTGAATTGATTTTTTCGACAATACTCAATCAATTTATTAATCTGATCGATATTACAATGTTAAATGATAGTATAAAAACAATTCCTTCGTATGCATTTCGTCAGAGAAAATTAGAAAGATTATGGCTCGGAATGGGATATGGCTTAACCGGAAAACAACCACTGAAATCAATTGCTCCCTATGCATTTTATTATTTACCTAAATTATATTTTTTACAAATCGCTACTGATTATCTAATTGAATTACATAAATATTCGTTTGCATTGGAAACATTTGGTGAGTCTATGTTCACATTTGAAATGGATTTTGCCGGTAATGGATGGTCATCGAATAGTTTTCCTCTGATGTCATTAACACAATGTCGTTCACGGCAAGTTTTTATGATACACCAAATTTGAAATACTTGAACGAAAGTATCTTTAAACCATTTTTCGAATCCGATGGATTGAATAGATCAGCAGTTGATATTGTATATTCGGTTGTTATCAATAGAGAAGCAGAGAATCCGTGTCCATGTGAAATGCAATGGATACAACGAAATTATATTGTAGGAAGCACCGATTTATTTATGATTCCAGTTTATGGATATCCATGCTACGAATATGATTTTAGTTCATGTAAAAATATTGAATCGTAAATGTAGAATTTGTTTTAAAACATGAAGCTCCTTATAAATATAGACGCATCGTGATACCATTCATGTTCCCATGGTGAAATTGTGTTTTGTTTCCATTTGAAATCAACAATGTAAATAATTGGAGAAACTTTATATTCTTGATTCATTACATTTCGCACTCATTTTTTTATGGTACCATTCCTTTTCATTTGAAATCTGCAGAAAGAATCTAATTTCAACAGTGTGCATTGTAAAAAAAAGGTGTCCTAGTGAACGTTATAGGTTCCAGAAATCGATCAGATATCTTCAAAAGGCTTATGAATAAAGATTAAACCTTTTCTTCGTTTATGAGACGAAACGTTTTTCAATAACAACGTTTCTAACACAAAAAAAAGAGTTTCTCGGCATCAGCCAGAGCGTTTTTTCAGACTTTTTCGTTTGTCCCAGGCTTTTCACCGGAAAGTATCTGTTTGTACAATTAAGTGCGCAACAAAGTGCAATCTTAGAACCATGAAACCCGAT